CCCCCCAAAAAAGAACACAGGAAATGTAGCTCAAATCAAGTACATTTTATTAAGAATTTATAGGACACTGGTCAATACAACACAGTGCAATATACTCTCAAATAAAAAAAGGACAAAAATAAACCCTCAAATTTTATGACAAAGTAAAACATCCATGTACATAGCAGAGCAACACCACAGGAGATAAGACATGGCCAAAAAGAGGGGTCAGACGTCAGTGCTCTAGTGCATCAAGTGACAAAGTGCTGTACAGAAGCGCACAGTGAGTGAGCAAGAAGGAAGGTTACAGTTAAACTCTAAAGCGGGTGTAAACAGTCTCATTTATTTGAAGTATTATAAAAGTAACAATGTAGTGAACAACCCGTCCCTCCATTGGAGTAGTATAAACCCTGTCAGTTTGAGCAAAGCCTGCTATGACAGCAAAGACTGTGCAAGCACATTAATGGGCTTGAAAGAAGGAAAATTGCACATTCATTGGGAAACCATTGTTGAAACACAACTAAGTGTACGAGGGCTATGAGGTGTTAAGTATGGCTTGTAATGGATGCTGATAGCTACAATCAGTCCATCTATTAAAGATGGGAAGACAGGCTCATTAGTGTTTTCATAAAACAAGTCGAGTGTATTTGTGCTGATTAGGAGTGTGCATGATTGACAGATGCAAAGTCACTTGGCCCATCGTCCCCCTTATCGATCTTCATTAAAGACAAATAGATGTATAAACAACAACAAAAATTATATATATATATATATATACACTGTACATTATGCAGCAACTGTGACACTATTAGGTTGTGGAGAGTATCCAAGTAAAAGGCTGTGGAGTGATGCATCATAACATTTTCAAAACTAGCTCTCTGTCTTTGTTAAATCAATGATTATACAAATATATCTCCTGATTCCGGTTACCAACATGACATACACTCCCAGACAGTCAATTCAGAGGTGATTTTGTTCTCTACGTTCTTAGTGCTTGAAATGTGATCTTCTGGCATTGCTTGTATGACTCCCATGAACAAACCACACACATGTGCTGTACAGTGTAGTTAGGAGACTGAAGGCAAACATCTTTTGGAGGACTGGCTAGGTTGTTCTCCAGCATGGGATGAAGCAGGTCCAGGATGAAGAGGGCGGGCGGTGTGGTCCCACAAGTTAACCATTACTGCCAGTAATGGCTTTTTCTCCTCATCCTCCCACTTTTCCTGGTCCCCATGAAAATGGTCATGTGAACCCCTCCTAGTGCAGGAGAGTTTGCGCAGGCTCAAGAATGAAATGATAAAGCAGAGCAGCCTGGTGGGTTTCTTCTCCTTGCTTGTTTTCTTTTTCCATTAGACAGACACTCCATTAAAAAGGCACCATGCACATTTATCAGCCCAGATGGGAAGAGAACACAAAAACAAAAATACATCAGCAGCTCTAGGTTCACCTCTCCAACTCTCTGGGTCAAACATTAAGGCTTCTGTTTATATAGATTCATCTGTTAAGGCAACCTTGAGGGGTGAAAGAGAGGATGACTGTGTCAAAATGTTTTGATATAGAGCAAACAACTACTGTATGAGTTTGTGCGTTTTTTTTTTTTAAATACACAGTGAAAGAGGGAAAAAAACACTCAAGTCTCTCTCACCTTATTTACTTAGCATTCATTTTCATACTGACTCAAGCGCTTCTTGGACTTCAGCTCTTTTAACCACTGGGGTGAGTCCTCCACACTGCACAGGTAAGAGACAGACAGCAATTCACAACTGAAAGCTGATGCGGGAACAAAGAGCAACACTGCCTCCAGAGAACAGATCTTCTTACCCATTTTCTTTCCCGCCAGGTGTGGGCAGCACACGCGCTGCATGTGGAAGGAAGGGTGACTTGGGGGAGCGAGAGAGCTGAGTAGATCCGTCGATTTGACAGTCAGAATCGCCCCTCTTCTTCAGCTGGGCCTGAAAACAAGAATGGGACAAATTAAACAACTTTCTTTAGTAGGGACCAGGGTGCAGTTCAGTTGAGTTGACCGTTAAAACACACATTCTTCATTCAGTGTAGCCAATATATGACAAGACTGGGCAAGCTCAAGTACTCTGCCTTGTCATAACAAAGGTGACTGCTCATTAGCATAAGAAAGGACTAGTTAAGGTGCATTTTATTAGGGGAATGCTTTCTGCAGACTTTCTCTATTCCAATTTTCAACTAAAAAAGCTTAGGTAAAGCTCACCTTTAAAGCTGAAGGATCCATCCCAGGGAACATGGCGATTCTCTGTGGCTGGGAGGCAACGGCAGGGCTGGAGTCAGCTCTTCTGTTTGGCTCCTCAGAGTCCGAGTCATCATCCTTACTCTCAACCTTTCCGTCTGTCGAAGGGCAAATACAAATTATTGTCATATGCCAATGGGATGACACAGGATGCAGTTAGACATTCACTTGGACAATTAAATTAACCTTCTGAGTGCATCATTTCCACATACATCTGTTTTTTGTATAATTAAAAAGGAGCTCATCAGTTGAAAAAGAATTTTAACAAGATTTCAGGTGATTTTGTTTGGTGTAAGTAAGAAAATAAACACAATGACTACAGCTCTAGGTAAAACACCAACCAGTGGAGTCTCGGTAAAGCCAGTCCTCAGTGGTTTCTCCCTCTCCCTCTGCCTGGGTGAGACTGTGATGTGTAGCTCTGGAGGGCCGTGCCCGCGGGGCTCGTCTCTTCCCCAGCTGGGCTTTGGAACGGAGAGCGCTAGTGTCCAACAGAGCAGTTGGAGCCTGGACATGGAGGCACAGAAAGAAAAGACATTAGCTAGCATATAAAAACGCAAGTATAATCGAAGGCACAAACGTGAACAACATCAGCCATTACAGATCAGTTAAGGGCACATGTACCATTAAAAGAACTGAGCTGTCTTTAACTCAGGTGAGACTTACATCAGGGAAAGCGAGCGGCTGGATGTCAGATGTGGACGAAGGAAGGGGGCCATCCACACTCTCACTCTCAAACCGTGAACCATGTGCACCTGGCGTGTGTGGGGGAGTGGGCTTCCTTGGTGAAGGGCTGAGGGTGCTCTCTGAGCTGGGAGAGGCAGGAGTGAGGCTGAAATAAATAAAACAAACGTGCAGTTGCTAGAGCCACAGTTACAATCAAACTGAGTCACAGCTTGTCTTTTGTTCCCGTCAAGACTGTGGGAAGCTATGATTTCAGTGACGCACCTAAAAACAGACTGTCCACCTCCCTTGTCACCATGACAGGCAGGGCTAAACAAGACTCATTTGAGTCTTCCATGTATATAAATATACATGGAAGAGACTCCAGCTTTATATCATTTTTTGTCCATTCTCATCCGTGTGGTTTAATGTTGATATTATCTGACCACAGGAGGTCAGTAATAGATTGCAATGCAACAACTGATTAAAAAAAAGAGCACTCAAGTTATTTTAACTTTTCCCCTAAGTTCTAAAGCTAAAACCAACAAAGTATTTATCCTGCTACAACAATGGCTGCCTGGTATCACTATTATCAGTGTGAGGTTACACAAGCATACAATGCCTGTAAGGAGGATTAATCAATGTTTTTATTTCATCTTTTCAAGGGGGTCTTAAAAGTTAAAATAATGCTGGTGTTACTATTTAAACAACCATTATGTACCTTAGTTCCTTATCAGACCAGCTGTAATAAAGGGAGATGGTTCAAATCAACACTAATGTCCAAAGGGAGGTGTTTCACTCCAGGAGCTGAGCAGAAATACATCCATCTTCTTGATTTACTTTAAATGTTCTTATCACACCAAATCATTAACTCCATGATACAGATGTCATCAGTTTTGAATCAAATCATTTGACTTTTGAGATCTATATAATGTTTTCTATTCTGTTAATTAAAAAAAAAGGTTAGGCTTTCATGTATTCTCAAGCCTGTGACTGTAAATAAAAATATTTTATCACTATTACATGTAATAGCGAATATGAAGACTGTTGCTACTGGCCTTAAATATTAAACACTACTAGTGCCCTGATAGCTGCCCGGTTTCAGCGGCTCATCATCAGGCTAACATTTAAAATTTATCGCGTTGTAATATCAGAACCGTGCATACACAATACTGGTGGTTTGAGTCCAGTCGCTGATATCTGTCCCCGTTTCCTTTCCACCTCTCTGCAACCCACTGACAGAATAAAGGCACAACAGCCCAAGCAAACTAATGTCAGAAAAGTTTGTACTAAACAAAGTATTCTGACGTTAACACAAACACATAATGCCATATTCTGTGCATGTCCATATAACAGTCACTGACTGCTTACAAAGAGGCTCTTTTATGCTCCTCCTGTCTTTGAAAAATTCCCTACCCCTGGATCGGACTTGAGAATGGGGCAAAAATACAAAAACACTACATAAATAAAAATGGCCAAGTCTAATAGCTTTGGAACACTGACCTGTGTGCATGTCACACCTCTGGACAGTGGGGAGTGAGTGTATGTTTACCTGTCATCAGTGCGCAGTCCCGTCTCCCACGTCCCATACTGACTATCAGTCTCATGGACCGGAGTTTGTGAGTCCTTCCTCTCCTCTTCACCTTGGGCACTTTGCTTCTGCTGCGCCTAAGGGCAGGAAAGAGGGAGATTATTAATAAACATGGGAAAATCACGTTGGTTTTCAAGTTACGTGACAGAACAGCCTAAGAGACACTGAAGGTAGCTCTCACTGGACACTTGGCATCTGCAGGTTACACCTAAGAATCTGATCCCTGGTTAAGTTTGGTCAATATATGTGAATTTCTCCGCATCCCTGAACTAAACCTCTTAATAACAACAGGAACACATGATCATCATCAATTATAAAGTAGAGTAGTTGGTTAATCTATGTCCTGACTGCTGCTGTTGCTGCTAACAGAGCTGCATCCTGACGAACCTGAGCAGCAGTGGGGACATGCACAATAAAAGGTAAAGGGATGCGCTAATGGAGACAGGAAACAAGTGGGGACAAAGGCTGAGATGGGTGGGTGACCGAGTGCGTGTCAGCCATCTACTGAACCATGCCTCTTTTAATGAGGCTGGTACAGAGGACATACTGTCTCAAAAAGACACAGAGCTCACAGAGGCATGCCTGCACATGAACTGATAATCCTGGCCTAAATAGGAATAATAAATTAACCCATAGAAAACAGACAGAGAAATGTGACACACCTGGCTCTGTGACTGCTCAGGTTCCTACACTATGAAAACAGTTCACCAATGATGTTTATACCAGCAACAAGCTATTGTTCTTAGATATTGATGAATGTTATCTTTGTTTTCTTTGTGTATGTGAACAAGAATCAGGTCAAAAGACTTCAAGACAGATAAGAGACAGAAACCACACTTGAGGTAGAGTTGTGACTGTAGAAAAACACGTTGATTGAAGGAGCATGATGTAGCTGAAGAAAGAGAGCGAGGAAAACAGTGGGGAGGATGTTATTCATCAGCCAGGCCTTTCCTGACCGGAAAAAAGAAAACTGAGAACAGCGGGAATGTGTTCAACATGCTCCTTGCCTCTGACGAAGATCAGCCTCTTCTCAAGGATTTACAGCATTCACACTTTTCAAGTTGACATCACATGGTCAAACCACTTACTCTGAAATACATACACTTCAGAGTCCTGCTTCCACTGACAACAATGAATCAGACTTCTAGTCCAAATCAGACTGTAGCTTGAACAGTAAGAACATACTCCACTGGTGGTGATTTAAACAGGGCAACTAATTCAACCAGATGAGGTCTTCCTTAAAGAAAAGGCTATAGCAGGATGTACCTGAACTACACAAATGTTATTATGTAATTAACTTGTTACAGCACCAACAGAAGCAATATACCAACACCATATATGACACGAGCTTAGCCAGTAATATAAGTTTCACATCTGTAAATAGGTTTTTCAGGGGTATGATGTGATAAACTTTTAAATATGTGGAAACTGATGCACATTTTCAAACAACCCCCACTGCAAGACATTCATAGCACTTCCACCAGAAAGTTCCTGGTACTTTTTGTTCTCAGGAACTCAAGTCCAAGAACGCTCCCTGGTGCAAAAGTTCCTTGAGTGCAGTGTGATTTGAATCTCCACAGCAGGACTAAAGCCCCAGGAAGATTAAACAAATTAGCCTGCTGACAGAAAGTTGCAGCAGGGTATTACAAATGCTGCATGGTATTTGACCAATCAGCAACATTCAGCACTGAAGGTTCACCCAATAGCTCTTGGACATTCAGAAAGAACTGCCCTGTGACTAGAGAGTTTTTTGTGTGTGTGGGGGTGTGTGTGTGTGGGGGGGACACACGAAAAGTGTCAGACATATTTGTGGGGAGAAGTTCACACCCTGCCTGCTGTCTCACCTTTGAACACCTAACCAAACACTGAGTAAACTGGTCAGACTGTCAGTTTTGGAAAGCTGCAGAAACACAGCCCCCCTTAAATTTCAATGTCAAAAAAGTGAAGGGATGTGATTTCTGAAGCTATTCAACCACCTGACACACACTTTTGTTAAAACATACAGTGGAATCGGGGGACTGCCATCAACTAAATGTGTCAGTATGAATGATTTACAAGGACTATGGGACACCGCTAAGCATACCATGTAACTGTGCCATCCTCAGTTCAGTTCCAACTTGGAGACCTTGGTATTAAGTCATGCTTCTGTCTTCTACCTGTCGCTGTACGCTACTATCAGTTGTCAAAATGCCAACAAAATCTTAAAACCAGGCCTTGTAAAATCCTCTGTGTGCGTGCATGTTATTTCACACACCCAGAACACACCCTCACCTGATCAGTACAGAGGAGGAACACTGCTTTTGCTAGAACATGTTGAAGAGAGGTGCCATTCAAAAACAACTCAAAACTGAAGTTATAAAGCCTATTACAGGCTTATTCATAATCTCAAACCATTTATTATTCAGTAAAATAGGGGCTTAACAGCCTTGGCACTGAACTTCAGTTGGACTCTTTCAACTTTCTTTGTTGTTGCAGTCTGCATTATTCTAGAGACAACACCGGGTTAGACAGGTTTGTTAGCCAACCAATAAAACCAAAAGCGTTTAAGGACTAAGACTGAATAGACACTCAGGTGTGAGCTCTCCTATCAACCAGAAACATGGAGATAATGCTTGATGAAGGACGCTGAAACAACAAGCCCAGTAGCAATGATTTATAGATGTCAGGAGCAAGGTTTTTCTTTAATAACATTAGCAACAGCCAGCTTCCCCTAGACAGGACGGGTGTGACGGGGGAAACAACAAAGAACGGATGAATGGAAGGATGGAGCAGAGAAAGGGCTGATCACTAATAGGGTTAACTGACAATCTGAGGAGGAAGGGGTTGGGACACAGCTGTGGAAACTTCTACTTGCACTGATTGCTGAGTGCCGCACATAACCCAGTAACACAGGACAGACAAACACTGGTATCTGAATTGCTCCCATCTCAACAGTTGAATGGAAAATGAGCAACTGTACTGTTGTTACCTGAAAAAGGAAAGGGCTCGGCTGTTCGGCACCTAACAGATGGTCTTACATCAGAGGAGAACGGGGTGAGCTGCTACATTAGATATAATAACCTCATGTACGTGAACAGAGCATCCAAGACGCAAGCTTACAACCCAGTGTGTGACACTGCTGTGTGTCCAGGATCCCTATAAGTGCTGCAGTCTTAGTCATCAAAATGAATAAGAGTGTTCTTTCAAACCATAAAAAGTTAAAACTAAATGTTTGTTTATATATTTTACTATTGCAGCTAACACTAAGACGAAAGTGCCTGTTGATCAAGACATGTCGAGCTAACAGTAAATAGATGGAGTGCTCAAAGACCCTGTGAGACTATGAAAAAACTATTCAATCACAACATTATCCTTGCAATACATCACCAATCTCCATTCTCTACTCACCTGCTCCAAACAATTTAGCAAGGGTGGAGTGGGAGAATATGCTCTGCGTGCACTTAAGCACACAGCAGTAATCAATATCAATATCATACAGATATTCAAAGCAACTGCTCCCGCAAGCACTAATCTCACGTCAACAAAGGGGCATTGCAGCTGCATGTCGGAGGGCTTACATTAAGACGAACTCTGCTAGGAAACCCAAATAATGCAGTGTTTTTCTTTCACTACATAAGTAGCACATACAGACAAGGAGTCAGAGCTGCACAAAGTGTCTAGTAAGAAGAGAAAGGGAGAAAAACCTGACTGGGCTTTAGACTTGAACTCAGACGGTGCTTATTCTCAATCCAGGCTTTGCTTTCCTAGGTGCTGCCAATATGACCACTGTTTGACTTCAAAGATTTGTCAGTTACCTAAATATCTCAAAGTGCACAAGCACAGGACCGTGATTATCTGAAAATGCAATACAGTAACACACAATAGCAACATGTTACAAGTATCTGTAAAGCTACAGTTACTGTGACTTCTCCATTTGATAATTTTTAGTAATGCTCACTTACCAGGGTTTTCCCTGCCATAGAAAGGCTTAGGCATAGCACGCAAGTGTTTTTTGCAGAGCACCTTAAGCTGAATGAACATAAAAAGGGCTTTAGGCGGTATCTCAGACTGAATGTACACTAAAAACAACAAAGAATTCTATATATTAAAAAAAGGAAGACTTTTGACTGTATGTACAATGTGTTGCCAGCTGTCATTTACAAATACTATAAGGATAATAGTTAGAAAGAGAGAGTAAAATAAAACTCTAAATTTCCTTTGACTAATTTCAAACTCCCCAGCCCCCACAACCCCCTCAACCCAACCCTCTGAAGGCCTGGGGAAAACCCCGCATGCTTACTTTAACTTTGTTGGCTACTAGGAACAAATGGCTTTGCCCAAACCATTTATGAAACTTGGGTCCAACATTAATTACTTTATCCCATCTCTATGTGTCCTGTCCTGCTGGCCACTACTAACACACTTAAACCATCAGAGGTCATGTTGCATTGTGGGTAATCTAGGCACCAGGTTTTAGACAAAGAAGAATGCATAAAATTAAAAAAAAGCCTCTGCTTTTTGTAAGAATTACTTATACTAAACTGACTTTTAGATTTTTTAAAATTGTGTATTACTAGTGGTTTCCATATTTACTGCGTGTACTGACATAACAACAGGAGGATGAGTTGGAAGTCTGGCCGACACGAACAGTTGGTAGTTTATATTTATAACATCTGATATGACACAAATGCCATTTCAGAGTATTTCTGTTTTATAGAGATCTGTAAACCTGTCATCTTGCAAAGTCATTTGAGATCATGAGCAACTGCTGACTATCAAATGCCAGTATTTACACTGTATGACTGTATAGCAACAGAGGAAACTATGATGAAGTCACCTACTCACAATGAGATTCAGTAAGGCAACAATAATTCTCTGGTTAAATGGGTGCTAGCATTACAACTCTATTGGCTGAATTTCTGGTAATGCTGTCACAGGCTCACACCTGAAAACGGTCATGTCAAAAAGTACACAAATAACGCAAACAAAAACCATTCATCGTGTTCAGGCTGTCATACACAGCTTAAGATTTCCTTTACCTACTATAACAACAGCCAGAGCTATTCTTAGAAACCCATACCAAACACATGACCGTGGT